AGAGATTTGGGGGGAAAGAAATAGCACGGCTTTCAAAAACGTGTCCTTAGAATTGTTCGTTATTAGTTGGGTTGCAACCCAACGGGTTTCCCTGTCAACTGCTCTCCAAGAGCGCTCCTCTCAGAGAATTGGGTCCAGGATATTTAAATTTAAAGCATCATTAGCTGAAGTTATTTTACATAATTATTTCTAACCGGGAAAATTCTGAAGCGGTGGCTTTTTTTAAGGGTGCTTTTGAAAACTTCTCTTTCTTGAGAATGTACTTGGGTATCTAAGTTTAAAAAGTGCGATTTTTCTAAAACAACGATGCCATTGTTCATTTTATTACTGTTATTGGTATTAAGTATTCGAATTGCACAGAACTCATTGGGCAAAATTAATTTTCTTTGAGGAAAGCAAAATAATTCCACCATGTACTGCAAATCTGATGAACTACAAATGCGCAAATTTAAAAAGAACTCTTTTCTCAGTGTGTTCAAGATCACTTGGGATAGTGCTAAGAATTTTGATAAGTTTTCTAACATGCTAGTAGGTGAGAATAATATGAATAAGGTGAGAATAATATGAACATTGCAAGCAAGTACAGAGAAATGTATTTTCTTTTTCCTATTTTTTTAAAATCATCCTATATTGCAGGGTTTTTTTTATACCCAGGAATGTTAAGATATAATTTGACTTTATGTATTTTTTTAAAAATTCTCAGTATTTTAATTTGGATGCTGTATTAGCTACACTAAGAAGAACACCCTGCCAATCTACTTCTGGGGATTTTTAAAAAAATAATAATGTTTATTATTTAAAATAATATATTTTATTATATATATTTTAAAATAGATTCTTTTGAAACTCTTTAGAGTGCATCTCCAAGCATTTGTAAGGGACTTTGGCAGCATTTTTAAACATTTTTTTAATCTTACAAGCAGCGTTCTCTGTAAAAACGCATCAGAATCAAAATTCAGTGCAAAAATATTTTTGTAAAAAAAAAAAAGATAAAAATCAATAAGGATAGAATTACTTTTCAAAACCAACATAAAGTTACCAGATGGAATTTGCTAATCATAAAGCAATTTAGTAACATTCTGGAACTGATTTAAACTTAGGGAGCAGGGATTTCTATCCTAATACAGCACTCCTATTTTGGTTTCAACGCCGAGTTGTTATGCCTTTTAAACTGCAGGCTCATGCCCATTTATTTACCAGGGAATAAACCTCACTGAACTCAAGTAAGTCTTCTCTCTGATCAGGCTTTTATAGGACTGTATCATGGTGGTGAAATCCTCTAGGGTGCTACATAGGAATAAACTTCACTGAATTCACTGAGACTTTCTCTGCGGTAAGGAGCACACCATTAGAGCTTCTGCATCTTCCGGCATTTCTAAAAGTTGCATGGCTCCCTCAGTCAGTTTTGTCCTTTTAAAGGGAGACTTTACCGCAGATTTCCAATACCGGCATCACTATCTTGGGTTTGCGCTACCTGAACTTAACTATCGTCACTTGGAAAGAAATCTGAATAATACTGACGGGATTTCTTTCCAAGTTAGCATACGTAGGTTTGCACAGTGTGATGTAGTCGTGGTGGTGTGAGTACTTGGGGAACTTCTGCGTTTTAAGACTTTGTTCTTGCTGTAAAATATTCTAAATGCTTTCTCAGTGTTACGTCATACGCATTATCTCACCAGTGTTAGGAAGGTTAGTTTTATCACGTCTGTCTCCTTATATTTCCCTCTAAGTGAAAAAGTCTTTCCTATGGGGAGGTAGGCATTCAGTTCCTGTATAACTTTAGTTGTACAGTTTTGCATTTTTTTCTTGACAATACTTTCTTTCAAGGCAATATCCTACAGATGTAAACAGCACAGTATTGCAAAAGCGACTGCACTAGAGATTTGCAAAAAGGATCACTCTGTATTGGAGATTTCAGTGCTATTCCTAATATTTTCCAATGTGGAATTTGTATTTTATTCCCCACAGTTGCTGAACACCATAAACATTCATTAAATTCTCCACAGTGACACCAAGATTTTTTCTATGTAATCATCAACTCACCTTAATGTTTAATACAGTGTTATGAAGCTTTAACTCAATATGCAGCATTTTATAATTGATACCACTGAATCTTATTTGCACATAGTAGCCTATTTCCTTCTGGAGTTCTTGAACTTTGCTGCGGGTCCCATCCTCCTAAAAAATTGGACATGGATTGCAAATTTATCTTTTGCATGTGATGAAATTCAGGTTATTGTTTTTGTAGGATATACCAAAGTCTACATCTAAAGGCAATTAATAAGATTTAATTTAATAAGGCTGTCATGGAATGCTGACATTTTTTTCCAGCTCAAATAAATAAGTTATAGCCAGAGATGCTGCACCGATGATAAATGATGCATTCCAGTCTTATCTGCATAAATTACCTAATTTGCATCCTTGAGCAGCAGATTCAAGAAGAGTTAACTGTGTTAATATATAACAGCAAAAAAGAGATAAAATGCTGAGCTTTTACTGGGTTTTGATTCTTCCCCCCCCCCCGTGTTTTTTTTTCCCTCCCCAGAACAGGAGCAGTTGTGAATTGTTGCTTTTGTCACATGAGTGGCTAAGACTATTATATTTTGAACTGGCCAACAAAATGTAAGACTTTATTTTGCGATGAGTGCTCTCCGACTGATATTCAAAATATAATTTGATGAGATGTTGGAAATCTCACATGTAAATTTAGTTTGATTTTTCCAAGTTAAAAGTGTATATTGCCGCTACCTTGAAAGAAGCATTTGAGAATGTGGATGACTTAACCATCCAAAACTATCATTCAGTGTTAGGAGGGGGAAAAGTCTCTTGGTTCTTTTACATCCCACAGCACATTACCAGCGCAATCCTATACATTCCCACTCAGAAGCAAGCCCTGTTTTATCCGGCTGGGCATTTTCCCAAGTGAACAATAATAGAATTTCCGTCTAACATTCTAGAAGCAAAAAAGCTGTTAGTTTCCAGAAGCAGTGATGTATTTTTTTTCCTGCAAATTAAAATGGCTTTTATTGACCAATTAACATGTATTCTGTTGGTGATCCATGTTGACTGGTGGGGAGAGGGAACAACCCAGATTCAGATTGCCTGATAGCCCCTTTACATTTTTATTATTGCAAAGTACAATATTTATGTCACCATTTTGACCTCCGATTCTAGCTAAGTGTCATAGAGAAGTCTTGAAAATGAAACTCCTGATTAATTTTTGATAGTGTATATACTTTCTCGCCGCATTTTTTCTATACAACTTTTATTTGATACTAGAATTTTTTCATTTTAAAGTTTCATTGCCTGTATTTACAATTTCTCTGCTTTGAAGGGCTTTGCTTAATGTGCTAAATATACTTAGTTGCTAGAATATTTGGCATTTAAATGTGAACCACATTTTCAAAGTTAAATTGTTTTGATAAGAAACAAACAAATATGAAAAATTCCAAAATCTATATTGTCCTAATAGGGATTTGGTGGTACTTTTTAACATTTTGGAAACAAAAATTTCCACATATTACATGGGGATTATTACATGCCAATGAGACTCCAGTTTTTATTTTCTAAATTTTACTCTTCATGCAATTATTCTGTCCTCAAATGAAGATAAAGAATTATTTGAGAAAAGTGCTACCTCTTTCATAAATAAAAGATTTAAAATTTTATCAATAAATTGTATTGTATTGTCTTGTATTTTATAGTTTGTGAGGAATCTCCCATCCTGTCTTCCCAAAGCTTGGGGCCCTCCAGATGTGTGGACTTCCCAGAATTCTTAGCTGTGGCAGTGGTGGCTTGATAATTCTTTGTGTTGAAGTTCACACATCAGGGAAGATGTCTAGATTTGGGAAAGCTGGTCCAATGCAACTGACTGACAACGGTTTCAGTGCATGGAAGATAAAGGTCACCCAGAGCATCATTAACTAAAGAAATTCCTTACCCTTAAATTTGGTCACGGCCGTTTGTTTAGATGGCTTTTTAAAAAGGGGCAGATAAAGTTATGGTGGGATCGATGTTTTCAGGCTGTTGCAGCTAATAGCCAAGTAGAAATTCCATGTTTAGAAGCAAGATACCTGCACGTTCTAAGTGCTGAGGTTATCCTTCACAATGCTCTTTTATTCTGTGTTCTGACCTCCCTGAAGCACTAGATTAGCCAGTGTGGAATGTAAGACTGTTAAGACCCCTTTGCTGTCCAGTAGGGTTTTCATATGCTTTCAGATTCCCATGAGCTGGTATGTTTATGATGATTTATGCCACAAATTCCATATGCAGAATTTACAGTCTTTGCTTTATTTCTGCAACATTCCTGTGAAGTGGGATTGATGTTTTGTAACCACAAGAAATGAAGCTGGCCATGGCTGCATACTTGATTCTTTAAATAGGAAGGGACACCCTGCAGCCATTGGATCCCAGGCAGCCCCTTCTGGCCACAGTTTCAGAAAACAAAGCACACTTTACTTCCCTGCACTTGAGCTAGGAAACAGAGTAAAACTATAGTACCATGGAAATAGGTTTTCCATGGTTTTAAAATTATGTGGGGGAGGGTTTTTGAAAATGACCAGTTTTGCTCACTCTTGTGGCCCACTAATAACTTATCCATGCTATAGTACCTAAAAGTGTGAATCGTATACAAAAATAGATCAGGATGGCAAAAATTAAGCAGAGTAACTAAACATGAATAAATCCAACAAGTAACATTTTTAAAAGTCTAAGATTTAAAAGAAGAGATAGTGCCAGACACAGTCATTGTGTCTAGTGCTAAATGCATTGTCCTGAACATTACTCATTCAAGAGCTGCTGTTCAGAAGGCCCCATCTCTGTAAACTATTCATTTATTTTGGTAGGGAGAAAAGGACCTCTGGCATTGACTTTACTCTTTGGGTAGTCTTGTGTGGAATGAATCTTGGATCTTTGATCCAGGAAGACCTTTACTTTTATCACCTACATGCTCTTTATGGGGAAGATGGTTGGCTCACCAAGAAGCTTCGGAACAGTTTCTCACTTGATCCAACAGCTTACCTTCCATGGTTTTGCAGGATAAAATGGCAAGGGCAAAGTCATGTGCACACCCTTGTCTTCTCAAGGGGAAGAAGATGAGCCTGCGTGAAACAAATGATGAAATAAGGGCAAAGCTCAATTTGGTATGATCTAGTGGAGAATTCTCTTGTGCAAGCCCTATTTCCTGCATTTTTTATTTATTTAAATCTATTAGCCACCCAACTCCAAAGGAGTCTGCATGAATTTTGTATAGGGAACAATTCTTCCACCGTTCTCCAAGAGTCAAAATATTAGGATTTGCTATGTGTATGATTATTTATTTATTTATTTACTTATTTATCAATCATATTTATGTAGCCACCTATCTCACACAAGGTGAGAACAGGAGGTGGTGTTGTTATTATTATTGAATGCATGTTCCTGTTTCTAGATTGAAATAGCATGAAGAGGTTTAGTGGAGAACAGCAAATGAATGTCAGCTTAATTCACCAACTGATGTGGGGGGAGGGCTTAATTCATCCTTTCCAATATAAAAAGGAAAACTTCTCTTTTTCCTTGCAGGCAAGTCCTGGAAGTCTTTAACCCCATCCCAGAAAAGGCCTTATGTTGAAGAGGCAGAAAGGCTGAGGGTTCAACACATGCAAGATTACCCCAACTACAAATATCGGCCCAGAAGAAAGAAGCAGGTCAAGCGGATCTGTAAGCGGGTGGAGCCAGGCTTCCTTCTGGGTAGCCTCTCCAGGGACCAGGACCATGTGCCTGAGAAGAGGGTGTGCAGCCGAGCACTGGGTGAGAAAGATGGGCAGGCTGAATATTCAACTGCTTCAGTAATACCAAACCTCAGGAGATACCAGGAGGTCCAGAGCAGTAACACAGGTACTCCAATGGACACCTATCCATATGGGCTGCCTACTCCTCCTGAGATGTCACCTTTGGATGTGATAGATCCTGAGCAGAGTTTCTTCTCCTCCCCCTGTCCTGAAGACCCTCGCCGCCCCCACATGTCTGGAGACACCTATTCTCTGGAATATGCCACCAGTCCTCTCCAGTGTAACCACTCTCTGGGTCACATGCCAGTCTCTCAGTCAACCTCCACTATCCACTCTGCTTCCTCCAGTTGTGCAGCACCACCCACAGGAAATTATTACTCCCCAGCTTTCCCTCCTACTCTCCAAGCCCCCAGCCTCCACACACATCTTGGCCAGCTCTCACCCCCCCCTGAGCATCAGAACTTTGATAGCCTGGATCAGCTGAGTCAAGCAGACCTTCTAGAGGAGATGGACCGCAACGAGTTTGATCAGTATCTCAGTGCCCCTGGACATCCAGAGCCTAGTGGGCTAACCATCAACGGACATGTCCAGGTCTCGCAGACAGCAAGCAGCTCACACTCCTCTGAAACCAGTCTAATTTCTGTCCTTGCAGATGCAACAGCTACTTACTACAATAATTACAGCATTTCTTAGGTCAGAGAGTGAGATCTCCCCGGTGGACCAACCAAGCAGTTTACTGGACAGAAGGTTTCCCTTTCTCAGGGTTTCCCACTCTGAACTGAAATAACTTTGGAGTTCACTTTCTAGGTAATTACTCCAGTTTCCCAACATTCTCTGTACCCAATCTAACTACTGAGAAGCTGTCTTCAGAGGGGTCTTTGTATCCCAATTAAAAGGATACATCTCCACTGATGCATCAAGGCACCTTAGTGTGTTGACTTAGACTAAGAATCCTTATTCTTTCATCAGACTAAAGGGCCCAGTCTGAGCTGGGATAGCATAATAATAATAATAATAATAATAATAATAATAAAAAAAAATCTGGTCTACCCACAAAGGCATGACATCAGGAAATACACAGGACCACTTATGTAGTCCTTCAACCAAAGATGCTCTTGAGTGCATTCCCCAGAGAAACTGCTGCTAAGCAGACTCAGATGAATGGGAAGGGTGCAAAAGTTTAACTGTGTGCCTGTACAAATTCAATTCATTATGCGGGATGTCTTTTCTCAAGTGTTTTTGCTCTTTGCACAATTCCCATTTGTTTCCATGGACTTGCATAGGAGATTTTTCCCTGCCAAAGCTGAAGCAGAATATGTAACAATATCAAAAGTGGTACCACAGAGGCATCATTATCCTTGGTGAATGGGCCACTTATCATCTCATCTTCCTGTTGCCTCTGGCCAAACAGATTTTGTCTTAAAATCAGTGAAATATGCTTAAATGAGGGTAATCAAATATAAGGAAAGTGGTGTCCCGCTCCTACCAACTCCTGCAGCTCCCAAATTCTACAAGGGCCTCATGCTGCAAACCACCTGGGTCCTATCATCCCTTTTCAGTTTGGCACACTTTGGCCAACTGAGCATTGGCTATGGCAGTAGGGCAAAATGGGTCAAAGCAGGTGGGACTTTATCATAATCAGTGGCAAATGTGGCTGTGTAATCTCATCACGAAATGTAGGTCTGAAGAATTACATGTGGCTTTGGACAACAGTTTGCTAATGCCCAGTGTGGCCTCTTAAGTACCATGTACAGTTATCCAATTTTTGGGAAGGGTCTACCAACCACAGTGTATGTTGGGCTACCTTTCTGTCCTGTAAAAAAGAAAAAAAACAGCCTCAGTTTGGATGTTCCCTTTGCTTCTTTCAGGATCATCTTTTCTCCTTGTCTGTGGAAGTGGATGTAACAGAGGTTGGTACAGTGTTTGTGTTTGGGAACAACCAAGAGAGAAGCATCAGATGCAAATAATGTACATTTGAGTATGCATTTCAAGTGTCAAAATAGGCAAGGGGCAAGTGAAGTTCATCTTAATAACATTTTAACAAGAGGTGTGCAAAACATTTCAAGGTCAGAACTGGACATTTCAGGGTGAGGATGGTTTGCTTGTTTTATATGCTGTACCTTTAATTCTAACTTAAATGGATCAAGGGAATACTGGGTGGGGGAGAACAGGAGCCAGGCATCTTCCATAATAAGCTGCTTTCCAAATAAGTTGGCTGACAGCCATCATCACCCAAACTGGTTACATATGAGGGCTAGTAGTCTAACCGTTTGGAAATGTGTTTTGGCCTCTCCATGTTCTAAACTGACAACAAAGAATGTCAAAGAAATGGGTAATCTAGATGAGGCTAATTATTAAAAATCCCTTCCTTGATGCCCCTGCCTACATCTGCTTTATCCCCTCCATGAAGCTGCTTTTGAATTTAAAAGTCCATGTACAATGCTCTCCTCTGGTTTTTTGGCCTCTTGCAAGCTTATGAACAACCTATAATTTAGAAAAAGCTGGTTCTGTTCTCATCCTCTAAGGGTTATTTTATAAGTAGTGAGAAATATACATTGTGGAAGATGTTATTGATCCCCAGACTTATTTTTGGCTTCAGAAAAGTATAACAGCCAGTGCAGCATTTCTAAAAATGCAGTAATTTTAAGTAAACCAATCTTGATGATATGGTGTCTTTATTGGTAGGGACAATTTCAGCCATTGCATTTAGCTCTCTATTTAATGCAAAACTGCATCTTAAAACATTCCTGACAAATGGGAGCCTTGCCTCTTATGAACATGTCCAGTGAAGGGTGCCCACCGTTTCTCTGGGTATTTGATTCTACTACTGAACTTTTCTTAGTGTTAGGAAATGTTTCCTTATACAGGTAGTCCTCATTTAGTAACTGCCTCATACAGCAACCATTTGCAGTTATGATGGTGATGAAAAAGTAACTTTACCACCAATCCTTGCATTTATGACCTTTGCAGGTCTGTAAAGCAAAGGAAAGCTGAAGTAAGATCATATGCATGGTCGCAGTTTTACTTAGCGACCACTTCGCTTAATGACCAAGTTGCTGGTCCCAATTGTGTTTGTTAAACGAGGGCTACCTGTATTCAACTGGAATTTTTCTGTAATTTAAGATTATTATTCCAAATCTCCTGTTTATTACTTCTTTATATACTTGAAAAATGCTCTCTTATTACCCTCTGTGCTCAGTCATCTACTGTACTTCCTCCATTTCTTTGCCTTTTGGCCAGTATCAATTAAATTGTTATGTGACAAGTTGCTGCCTGATCTGCTGCGTTGGGCTCTGGTCATTTTTGGCCAACCACAGACTAGCTCCAATTGCTGCACATTCTGGATTTGTCAAAAAGATCAATAAAACTCTCAGGTTTCTTGCTCTTCTCTGGAGCTCAGTTCTCTAGCAGGAAACCCAGATTCATTTCCAAGAAGTTCATTTGACTGAGAGCTGCTTCAGCCAATTCCTGCTTGTAGAGTGAACCTGCATATTCCTTATATTCCTCATACTGTGCTTTAAACTGTCTGTATCAGGGATTCAGTGAAAATTAAGGTGGGTCATTAACTTGCGTCTCTAAGAGAAAGTCTTTCCATATAAGCAGAATGTATAGCTTTTGTATGGTAAATTACTCCATATGTTTTGCCATTTTGGAAAATGGAAAGATTGTATTCAGTGATCCAGTAACTGTTTCCATTGTTACAATCTCATTGATGTTAATGGGATTACGCCAGGATGTAAATGATAGATGTCCTAGCTATTAAAACTTGTGCAGGTGATTTGTCAATTGCTACGCTGGTCTAACGTGGCAAAATGGAATGAATGCTGTACTACTGAAACGCTAGCATCAGTTTGATAGGAAAATAATTATAAGGAAAGATTTTGGTGATAGATTTCAAAAGCTGCCTGTAGTTATTCAGTGTGAAAGGGAAAGATCATAGAGTCATTATTCATAAGCATTGTTACAAGGATCTGACCTGAGGACTATCTCTTGACTCCAATTAAGTCTTGAAGCAACTGAATTGTTGTATGAGCTTAAATTAACAGCCAGGCCTCTCCCATCTTCTCACTTTTTAAACTTTGTTCTCCCCCTTCTATCAGCCAGCTTTATCCATGCTGCTGGCAAAAGATCTGCAGAGAGTTTCGTTTGAAGGGATTCATATTAGTAATGCTCCATTCTTATCAAATCGTCCTTGAAGAAAGATACTTTAGTGTTTAAAAGTAAAGTTCATCCTCTTTTCTGTGTCCTATTTTTGCCTGGAATAGCACTGTACATATGTATGTTTTACAGATTATCCCTCCTCCCTACCATGCATTTTTATTGGTAGAACTTCCTTATATTGATGGAAATCAACTGTTTCTTTGTTAATCAGTTATTTAACAGAATTAATGGTAATGTAATGATTAATTAGCTAGTTTATATCATTCTGTTTTTCTAATTTTGTTCCTCAAATGTGTGGTTTAATCTACAAATAATGTTTTTATATATATTAAAGAATAAATGAATTAAACATGAGACGTTAAGATAAATAATTCTTTTATGTGTTACTCTGTGCACTTGATAATTTTATCTGATATATCATATTTTAAAATGTTATGTAAAGATGGTCTTTTCAGATACATGAAGGCTATAGAATAATGGAGGAATGCCATCTATGACCATTTCTTTATTCTTTTCACCCAGATTTCAATATCTTCTATTAAAGTTATTTTTTTCTGATTACTTTACAGTATATCTAGTTCAATGGATTCATAATTTGAAGTTAACGTAGACTTTACAAAGTACAACTCAAGCAAAGCTGATGCCAGGTACAAGATACACAACACCTGGAACTTCGGTGTACTTGAAAGCATGATGCAGAGAACAGGGCAGGATTTTTGTATCATAAAGGCATATTCGGATGATCACTGTTGGGAAATAGCTGCTGGGGATTGCAGGGTTGTTTGGTCGTACTCTTTAAGTGGTCATAAATAGACCTGGCTTTGAATTGTTCCTCAGTGCTTAATACATTTAAGTAAATCCTTGTGATCGTTCACTTTTTTTTACAGTACTAAAGTGAGTGTTTATTACATCTGGTATGACATTTGCAATGATGAGCATAAGCAGGCTGAAGTAGACTGAACTCTTTCATATTGGAAGAAGTAGTGGAAAGCTCTGTGTATTCCCCACGTGTGTGTGTGTGTGTGTGTGTAAAAAATGAGCCCCAGGTATCAGGGATGATTTCCCCTTAATCCAGCATTCCACTATTAAAGCTAGATGCAACTCTGCATTTAAAGAATTAATGCTTCAGAGAATTCAATGTCTCCAGCAAGTTCTCACCCAAATACTAGAAACAAAGGAGAGTTACCATCTGTCAGCCCTATAAGACCAGACTAGGAAACCAGTGACATAAGCTACTTTTATTAGAACAGCTATAATGACAGAATCTTGCAAATCTAAATGTGTTTCCCTCTTCCAGCACTGTATCTTCATGTGAATTAGGGAGGGGCTTGTCTGAGGGTTTTTCTTAAGTTAGCTTCTTGGAATGGACTCAAGCCTTGCTTGTCTGATCATGGCCTTGGTAATGGATCTTCCCACTGTCCTTCAAGGCCATTCTCTGTGCCGTCTACAGCATCTTGCCAGAATTCTAGTCTTGAAGAGAAGTGTGCTCTCTTTTTGGAATGGTAGAGTTTGAGGATATCCCCAAGGCAAGCCGTAGTATCCCATGTGCAGCCTTTGAAGCACCCTGAGTTTGTGCTACCAAATGAACATCTGCAGGGAGAGGGTTAGAAAAGTCAAGAAGGCCATGGCCACGTGACTGAAGTTGCATCTCTTTTTATCTGTATTGTACATCTTGTTACGTTATCTTGACTTTTTTTACCTCCCAGGCCTGTAGATGGTACAAAAGTATATCACTGATTTTGGCAGTATGGTGTTTAGGTAGAAGAAAGGAAAATAAGAGTGAATATAGGAATGCATGGCTTGGTGAGATGAAATTCTTCCAGTCTTTTCTCTTTAATGCTCCCCCTGTGCAAACTCCTTAAAAATATTGGACAGGTTTGGCCTCATCCCTTCCAGTGAGGGACCTGCATCCTCAGAAGATCTCCCACACCTCCCATCTAGTAAGGAGAATGAGTTAAAGCTCCCATGCTGAAAAGTTACCCCGCTCTGCTGTATTACTACAACCTTCCTGGCAGGTAACTACCCTGCCTTCCTTTTTAAAAAAGTACAAATTCCAAGGAGTAGGCATGCTACCATTTTGCAGAGAATCTTGAGCAATGAGTATTAGTTTCCTTTTTGCACAAAGGAAAGACACTTGATACAGCCATATAAAACAGGGAAAGCCCTAGCCTACAGGCTGCATGGAGCCCCCAGCCCCATTTTTGTAGTTCCCAAAGAATGTGCTACAGCTGATAGCAGCTTGTGCTACAGTACTTGGTATCAATTCTATCCATGGGATGTCTCAGTTAATCCAGAGCCACTGTAAGTAAAATGGGAAAGCTAATGCTGCTTGGATTTATACTTTAATATAACAGGATGGACCGGAAGAGAGTTTTTCAAACTCTGTTCCATAGAACCCTAGAGTTCTAGAAGAACTTGGTGGTGTTCTGTGACAGAGTAAGGCAGTGTTGTCCAAACTTGGCCACTTTAAGATGAGTGGACTTCAACTCCACGAATCTGGAGTTGAAGTCACTCATCTTAAAGTAGGCCAAGTT